TGTAAAAGGTAAAAAAAAAAAAAAAAAAAAAAAAAAAAGGTAGCATTCAAATCCAAGAACGTCTTGTCACCAACTGGCCCCTTGTCCACACCTGACCACATGATGTTTACTCATGCAACGTCTCAATCATCAACTGTAGGATGACTTAACAGAAACACGGAATGCTTTTACAGGGCCCCCAGAGGTGCTGTTCCTTCTGCCCCTGCTAATGTTGTACCACTCGCGATGTTACAGTGCCACTTTGTGGAGTATTGTGCAATTCAGGGGAGCTTTCATTCACCAGCCCGCTTTTGGAAACAGAGTGTAATTTAGGTACAGGCAGGTATATAAAATGTGTACACCTCAATATGTGAGCACTTATCCATAGGAAAACAATATAGTCTCAAGTCTATTTAATTGTATCACCTAATGTATGTGCCCAATTATGTTACCTCATGAAAATCCCTAAGATTAGTCTGCAATTTTCATTTAACATTTTATTTTAGGCTTATATAAGTCTCAAGGAAATAAAGCAAAAAGTCATGGCAAAACACGTAATTAAATCACTACTGATGCAATATAATAAGTAAAACATATTTGCATTGCCTTGAAGAGAAAACAGTTGAGTTCTTGATGCTACAGTAATTTCAGAGCAATTAAAAAAAAAGTACTTAAGAACCAGATAGCTATGTTTTAGCAATCAAAATTCCATGACTAATGGAGCATTCACATTAACTTTATAGTTTTAAGAAGTTCAACTGTAATGTTGCCAAATTCTCGATATCAATTCCAATAAATCTATGTTGAGTGGAAATGAAAGTGAACCCTTGCGCAGCACAGGATACCTCATTAGGATCCAGGAGAACAGAAAAGACATCTCTTTAGTAGATGTGAAGGTACAAAGTAAGAATCCCTTGGGAGAAATAATAAAAATATGGCAAGATGCCCTCTGGCGCCATGGCACGTTTCTTAGCAACGTGGAAAAACAACTCTGCTAACAAAACTCTGTCGAGCAACAAGTGTTTACAGATCTTAATTCAGAAACTGAATTCCGAATAAAGCTGGGGATATTTACATTCCTAATAATATTAAACTGTGTAGCTTTTTTCTTATTTAATACCCAGATTTATAAAACAAGAATGATTTCTTAAGATAATGTGCTTCAAGCATACAAAGTGTCTAAATGAACCAGGGCATCGTCTTCACACGATCTTTGATTTCCAAGGAACGGGTATTTAATTTTTCTCTAAAGAATACATCTGTGGGGGCACCTGGGTGGCTCAGTCCGGTAAGCCTCTGCCTTCAGCTCAGGTCATGATCCAGGGGTCCTGGGATAGAGCCCCGTGTCTGGCTCCTGGCTCAGCAGGGAGTCTGCTTCTCCTTCTGCCTCTCTACATGTTCTCTCTCTCTCTCTCTCAAAATAAATAAATAAATATAATTTAATATATATATATATAATATATATATATATATCTGTCTATCATATACGGGCAAATTGGTAACTGCTGGTGTCAGAACATATTATTCATCATCAGTATCTGAGTGGCAGGTCACCAAGAGAAAAAATTTCGACTCTCGGCAGGAATTCTTCTCTACAAACAGTGCTATCTTCATTTCACCATTCGTTCTGGAAAATCTGTTCCCACGTTCCATTTTAGCAGAAGGGTGCCACGTCCTTGCCTCCAACTGTAACACTTCTTTTTGCCTTCTCTGCAAAGGGGCACCTATGGCCACTGACACTTTAATTCATCTGGTAAAATGGTGAAACGATCACCCTGTTTTGGGAATTGCATTATTTTTTTATTATTTTTTATTTTTTTAAATAAATTTATTTTTTATTGGTGTTCAATTTACCAACATACAGAATAACACCCAGTGGGAATTGCATTATTATTAAAATGACATTTGATGTGTCTTTCGAAGTGGCAGCTTGTGACTCTCTTCTGATTTCCTTTCACCAGTGCCACAATTTGCAAAATAAGTCACGTACACACTGCCATCCTGGTGAAAAGCTACTGTGCTTTCAACAGTTTGTTTTTTAATAGGGAAATGAAATGGTTTTCATTGTGAATAAATCTTTATAGTCTATCACAAGTTCTAGAACGTCTCCAAGTGGTTCATATAACCACTCGTCACCCAAGACTTGTTAAAGAAAGTAGAAAGTGCATTTCCACTTAAAAGCATTCCAGGAACACTTTGTGTGGATAATTTGGTTAATCCTTCAAGTAATATACCTTAATTTGTTGAATTTAAAAGTTATACTTTCTAAAGGCTAAAAAAAGGAGTCGTAGTTAGAATACTCAAGTTAGTAGTTTCTGAACTCTGTCATTATAATACTGTAACCTTTGACAACTCTTAGTTTTCACCTACTCGATCTTATCCAGGGTATGTACGCAGACCAGTCTGTGACAGAGATCAGCTTGTCAGCAGAAGGAAGCTTCTATTTTTACACCGATTACGCTACCACTATAAATATCTATGTCAAAAAAAATTAAACATTCTTATAGAAAAAGGTACACCCTTTAATAGTCTACAAAGTAAGTTATACATTGTTTCATATGTGATCTTTATCATCATTTGTTTGCTCTTAAAATCTAAGATAATATTATATATATATATTTTTAAAGATTCTATTCGTTTTAGAGAGAGTGCATGAGTGGCAGAGGGGGCCGAGGGAGAGGGAGAGAATCTCGAGCAGCCTCTGTGCTGACTGCAGATCCCAGCGCGAGGCTTGATCTCGTTACCCTGAGATCCCGACCTGAGCTGAAATGAAGTTGGACACTTGATGGCCTGAGCCACCCGGGTGCCCCACGATGTTTTAGAAATATAAAGTAGCATGACCGAATGATTAATTTAGAAGCATTGGTATTGGGTGTATTGTAAAAGTCGTAACTCCACGTTAATAGAAAATGCATGTGACGATCATGAGACAATTTATGCTTTAGTTATTATTGGCAGCTTTCAGGTATCTAATGCCTATATTGGCATTACTGTAGCATCAAATTCAAATGTTCTTGAATTTTTAGTTATTTGGCAATTAACAGTTATGACTATGCTAGTATTTTGCTGCAGATGTGGACCTAAGGGAATCTGCTTTTCTGAGTCAAAAACCTTATAATGTATGTCATCTGTCTCCACCTTGTGGTTACTGTAAATATTGCTACTTCCTAATTTTGCACTGTGTCCTAGACACACACAGCGAGAGATGTTGAATGGCTATAGAAAAATACAAATGGCTCATCTACCTTGAGATTTCCACGTTTTGACACCAGGAACACAAAAAACCATTTCACATGACAGAAAACTTCAGATACATTGTTATATCAAAGTGTTAGAGTCTCTCTGCCAATGTTATTAATAATTTCTTGCAAAAATATTATGCAATTGTAGAATCATGTAGTTAAACTGGATATATGGGGGATCCCTGGGTGCCTCAGAGGTTTAGCGCCACCTTCGACCCAGGACATGATCCCGGGGTCCTGGGATCAAGTCCCGTGTCGGGCTCCCTGCATGGAGCCTGCTTCTCCCTCTGCCTGTGTCTCTGCCTCTCTCTGTGTCTCTCATGAATAAATAAATAAAATCTTAAAAAAAAAAAAACCCTGGATATATGAAGTCCAGTCAGCACATTTCTATGTTTACATGAACTGTCCCTTACAACTTCAGAGCACATATAGACTCTGTGTTACATTTTCTAAGAAAGTCACAAAACGAAGAAGAAAGTTTTCCTGAGAAGTTGCTGTCTACCCTTCCCTCAGGAAAAAGTATAAGTGTTCAGCAAAATTCCTTAGGTTCCTAAATCAGAAGTTTTAATCTATGTTTGAAAGACAAACTCCTGAACTTCCAATTATACATTATTTTCTTCTTTTTCCATTCAGTTCAAGAATAGGGAATATTACAGGGATTAAGACACACCTCTTTGCTCTCAGGGATTTCTTATCTGTCCAATTTTGTTTTAATGCATGACAACTATTCATAAGTGTCCGATTCATAGATTATCTGTCATTTCATGTCAAAGTTGGAGAAAGCCGTGTGATCACATTGTCTATATGAAACAATTTGAAATTATCTAATTTGAGCAAAAAGCTTCCTACCTGGCTGAACTTGCCAACTAGGCATGTTTGTTACTTTTGAACTTCATGTTGCATGAAGTGAATGGAAAGTGAAATACTGAAAAGGAAAGTTAAAAGCCTATGGATCTGAGGAAACTATCTCAAAAGCCAGCCAAAGGCCTTAGTCCCTCACACAGTCCCTCTGCCTACAACAATCTAGGTTCTTGATGTGCTTGTGGTTTCGATAGAAAATGCACTCTCTCCACGGACCATGCTCCACAGTGCAAGTATCAAGCAAGCACCTAGTTCAGTACACACTCTGCACAGCACAGAGAGCTGGGTATTATCTAGTTAATATATAATTTGCCTTTAATACAGATTTCCATGAAGTGTCCTTGCCTCCCAAGGATTTCATGATTTGGTATTTCTATTCTGCATTCTTTCAAGAAAAAGAAACAGGCAGGAATCATTTGTCTCTTTAGGGGAAAACTAAAGTCACACTAGTTCTGTGTCCTGCTGCTATCAGAGATTAAATATCCCTCCTAATTATGTCTCAATTTTTTGAGGCCCAAAACACTACGGTATTTATGTTGACTGAAACTAAAACGTCAATAAACTTAATATGGATTTTGATTTTACAATAATTGTTCATAAAACATGAGAAGACAAAAGAAAATGCTATTTATATGCAAACCAGGAGGAAATGTTTTTTGGAAAACAGATTTTGCACCTGGATATATAATTAGCCACTTTAAAATAAATGAGTTTACTTCCTTAAAATGTTCTTCAGGTAAGAAAAGCCCTGAAGAAAGCTGGAATTCAGGAAGGGGCGGTTAGAAAACCTGAAACCACACTGATCACGACTTCCATTCCAAAAGGCATTAATACCGCTCAAATATTGGACTTAGCGTGTAATTTATACGATGAATACATTAGACTTGTGCCATAATGATGTAACAGGCAAACACTTACCTTTTTCATTGCCATTTGCATAATTTGGAGGCTTGTTTTTGTCAATGCTGTTAAAGCTCTGACTTCTCCTATTTAAATTAGAGGCTCCTTGGACCTTGCTGCTGCTGCCTGCAGCTGGCACCCTAGAGGGACCTGGAAGCCTGAAATAGTATAAGAAAAATTACATCATTGTTGTACATTACAAGAAGATAGGGGATAGCAGGTTCTGATGGGGAAGCTTTAATGGAAAAAGCACTAACACATGATGTTCTAAAATCTATTTAGCAGAAGATGGTGGTTTCAGTGATAAAGAGCTACACACAGCATTAGGAACCTTCAGAAAAATCGTTTCACTTTTCAATAAACATGCCCTCAAACAATATTAATAATATAGAGCAATTAGAAATAAAGCAACCTTTAACTAAATAAGTCATACTTACCATACCCCTGATGAATAACACTTTGACTTGAAAGTACTATAACAATTACACGAAAAGCAAGAACAGAAATGTATGTTCTTGGGGTATTATCACCTATTTGCAGTTGTTGTTAAGCTGGTCTTTTGAATGTATGGGACATTTGTTTTTATCTTAGATAGCTGTTTCCTAAGTCAAATTGATGGTAAGAAGAATAAGCTTACTGGGCAGATTGCTAGTAGCAAATGCTTATTGCATATCCAAGCAGTAAACTCTTCTACTTCAAACATGGTGTGGAGACTGCAGCCGTTAGCTTATATTTTACTGGTCTGCCTCAAAATTTTTTTTTCTTTAATCGTTTTGCCAAAAATAAGCACCTAGACCTTAGCTGGCTATCTTGTGTGTCCAGCTGATCACAGATGTGATATGATGAGAAAGGATACAGGTCTCAGAAGAAGAAAAATCTCTGTTAGCAGAATGACAATGTAAAATATACCTACAGGGACGGGGATTTCAGCTAGCCTTTGGGTATGATGGACAGGACATGAGGAAATACAGGCAGACTGGATTAAAATTAGGGGACGTTTGACATGAGGCTGTGATTTCCAGTTATTTTATACGGACTAAAATTAAATACCACTGTGGACCATTTATGTAGTTTCCATCTTAAAATTTCAAGTATTGAATATTTCATGAATTATACCTAAAATATACAATCACTATATTTTATTCTACACTGTTAACATACTATATACGTAGAATAAACAATCCAAGTGAATTAAAAATGATCAATTAAGAACTAACACTGCATTCTAAGTCATATTTAACAACATGATACTAAAGGATGTTATCATCATTGCTAGCATCTGCTGCCACCATGTGAATGTCACTGTGTACTGCTCTGATAATTTCTATTTTAAAGGGAAAAAATCCAGAACTTGTAAATGAAGCAGTGAAATTTTTACTGTTCTCTACACTAAATTTTTAAAATGAAAGTGTTTACATCTGTTAAATTGGTGCCCCATTTATCACAAGATCAGTTAACTATTTTAACTCACCTTCGTAACGTAACTGGTTATTTCCATAGATTATTAGGAAATCAAACTCTTAAATACTATAGCTATTTTTTAAAATAGTAACAGGTTTGCAACAGGGAATGAACATCAGGAAAACACAAATACCAGCTTAAAAACAGAAGTGCTGCTTTCTTGGAATAGTTAATAGTTTCAAAATGTTAACTGTATTTTGGAGTTTAAATACATATGGCTAATAAATAGTTCCTTCAGCTATTTTGCTAATTAGAAGTTGTGCCACGTACAAGATTGGAACATTTTCCAAATGATTCCAGCATTTGACTTTTGCTCAAATGGATCTACAGGGTCTGTAAGTATAGCCCAGTAAGCACAGACACCAGGAATTTTGAGTACCAATGACTGCACTCTGCAGAAAGAACTCTATTAATTAATTTGGCCAAATGCCCCAATCATAATAAATCTGAGAACTATTCCTGCAGACACAGCTACAGACTTATAAGGTTCATTCCAAACTCACATGTATAAACAAATGTTGTCACACAACTTGCCCTGCTTGCAATGAAACTCGACCTGTTTCTAGAAAGCAATTAAAATGCATCTTAATCTTTACTGTGACCCATGAAACCAAGTGATCTTTAGTTCTTAGAAGAACAAATTAAAACAAATTTAAAAATTCATTTGCTCTTCTCATTACCCTAATTTGATAGGCAGCCAGAGCTCCAGATCATTCATCAAAGTAATAAAAAGAGAAATGAGAATGAAGCCAAAAAAAGAGAGAGAGAGAGAGAGAGAGAGAGAGAGTGAGAGAGATGTTCTATTAAATCAAAGTACTTAAAATATACTTTATATGCATGAGTCTTAGAAGTGGTAATAAAAAATGCTTCCTGTACACGGCAGGTCATTGTTATTTGCACATCTGAATTTATATCATTTTTCCTACTTTTAATTAAATACCTTTTAAATTTTTCCCTCCAGAATCATTTTAATTACTATGGAAATGAACATAACATTGAAAACCAAGGCAAGAAGAAAAGCACATACCTCACATCAAGGCATCATAAGCAGTCCTTTTGGTCAGACATTGCATGCATAATATGGTACAGTTTCAGAGCAGTGATTAGGAAGCCACCACAGAGATACTTCCCCCATGTGAGAGATGGCACATATAATCACATAATAATTAGGGGTGCAAGACACATTTGCTGTGGCTCCACTTGGTTGCACCATCATGCCTTCGGCAACTTTTTTTTTTTTAAATCAAACACTTTCAATACTCATTTATAAATCAGTATTTCCAAACAGCACATTACACAGTCATTTGCTACAACAGACTGTCTTTAAAATATGTATGTCAGGGATCCCTGGGTGGCGCAGCGGTTTGGCGCTTGCCTTTGGCCCAGGGCGCGATCCTGGAGACCCGGGATCAAATCCCACGTCAGGCTCCCGGTGCATGGGACCTGCTTCTCCCTCTGCCTGTGTCTCTGCCTCTCTCTCTCTATCTCTCTGTGACTATCATAAATAAATAAAAATTAAAAAATGTTTAAAAAAATAAAATAAAATATGTATGTCATAAAGAAGCAAAAATTTAAACTATTACAGATAAAAGAACAGACCAGGTTAACTTAGTGACCCGGTGCTAACTTCCCCACAAAAATCTGCCAATATTTCTCAATTCTGCTTCAAACTGTCAGGAATTCATGCATGCTCATCTCGAAAAAACAATTACATTCTTGTTGTGTAACTTCCAGATTCTGTAACCTGGAAAGAATGGGGCCTTCAAAGTAATGTTTTCCTTGACTTTCTCTACGCCTAGAAGCTAGACTTCAGCCCAGTCATAACAGTATATATAACAAACCTAAAACAGAAGAAGCCAAAACCCATTTAATGATCTTATACAGACATGCTCATCCCCGAGAATGCATATGGAAATCCACTTGGAAGAATTCAGTCTTCTAAACTTTTTATCCAGAAGTATGTAATTTATGAAAAAAATTTAGAATGATAGGACAAAATATCACTGGGCAGTTACTTTATTATCACTAACAAGCAATAAATTAGAGATATTAACTGACCGAGTAGGCTTTTTTTGACTGGTTGCAATTCCACTGTGATTAGACTGAGTTGCATATCTGGCTGCCAGACTGTATGAGGAGAAACAGAGAAATTGAATTAAAGAGATTCTTTGAACATGGAAAGAAAGCACAAAATTACAAGAAAACTATGAGTTAATGAAATGCAATTGGAACATGTATAAGCATGTATAAAGAATAAATTAATTAGAAGATTATGATAATGCAACATATAGACCGTGACCTTTGATTAATGAACACACTATGAAACAATGCAGTGCACCCCTTGTAATAAAGTGTGTCATCATTGACTTTAAAATTATGGCTGTGTGATATTGGTCATATTATTTTTAGTAGTATTTCATGTCATAAAAAAAATTCAACCTTTGTAAATGACTAGGAAAACTTCCAGAAACCTAAAGTTTGACTTTACGTAATACAAATATCTCTTTCTCAAAAAGGCTAAAAGGAACAGAAAGAGTATGAGGGTCACTATTTTCTGTAGTAAACTCTTCTAATTTGCTGCCTTAACCAAAATATTACTTCAAAAACCAAATGACTAAAATATCTGGTTTCTGACAAATGTACCGTTTGATCTTGAGTCCTAGATAGAATGGTTTAAAGAAGTGAACAATACATGAGGTTTTTCTAAAGAAAAGATCTATGTACAAGCTAAATGGAATAAATTGGAGTTAGATTTTTCAAACAAAAACCTGAACAACTATTAATGATAACTTCTGGGCATTCTTGAATTATTGTTCTTAATAACTTTTAAATCAAAATCTTTGATCAAAGACACAAAAGAAAGCATTATTTAAACTGAGTTCTAAGGAGCCGTGAATATTCTACAGACAAAAATGAAATTTGCACTTCCAGTGAAACTAAGCTCTGAATTACCTGAATGTTCTGAAATTAGTGTTTTGAAGAATATGGTGAGACCCAATTAGACCTGAAACATGTTCACATATCCTGTGATGGTCATGGATTGATGCCCAAGTAGAGAATCACTTTTCAGGTGAATTGTGAGGACTCTGAATGAACCCACTTGTTGCAAACACACAATTTCTGAGGTCTCCAGGGAAACAGGAACAACATGGGGGTGTCAGAATCAGGGCAAAGGGGTTAATCAGAGCCCTGCTATATTTGATCCAAGTGCTTTGCTGCCAAGTATGGGGTATTTTAGTCAAGGGAAGAATATCTTAGGGTGCTGACATGCCTCCTAAGTTAACTTCTACTCCACTATGTGGTGGGAGCATGAAGACCCACATTTTTTAAAATGCCTGGATAGAAAAGAAGAACATCCTCATACTTAGGGAGCTTTTCTGAGCACTTTTTTTTTTCACATCTGGTATGTGATATATCATTATTTGCATATAATAAACTCTGTCTCCTAACGACACTGGTCCGAGACAATTGAATCAACTGCTTCAGTAACAATGATACCAGAGAACAATGTATAAATAAAACCAAAGTGTCTGAATGAAACGAGATATTACTTTAAAATATAAATTTAAAATACAAGCACCCCAAGGGAAAAAATATTTTTGCATGTGTGAACCTTTCAGTCTACTTTGTCAACCCTGGAGAAAGAGACCTACGTCAAGGTTCACTACTATGTCTTATCCTGTACTCTCCAAATTGAACACAAATATTAGCTGGAGAAATGACAAGGACACAGTGTACTTTCCTTCAGGGACCTGAAGCTATCTCATGGGGTTTTCTTTCATGATTTTAAAGAAGTAGAATAATTTCTAGGATAGAAATGAGGTGGGGGAAGAAAATCTAGAAAGGTCAACTGACTTGCTAAGATCGGTTTAGTTTTATGGCCCATGTGTATTTTCTAATTTATTATGAGAGAATAATATTCTACATGTTGCCTAGATTTTTGTATCAAGCCCTCATACTTTAGTCCTCTGAAACTTGGCTTCCATTCTACTTCTCTTGCTCTTGTGAAACTGTTATGTGAAGAACACAAGAGTTTTATTCAATTCTCACCACACTCTAACATCTTTGTATTTGACCCATACTGCTCCCTCTGCCTTTTTGGAATCTCTCTCTTTCGTAGCCTCTAATACTAGTGAGCTCACTTGATTTGCCCACTGTCATTCTTATCCATTTTCTCTTTCCTTTCCCAGGTCTTTTTACTTTATCAAGCTCTTAAAGGCATGATTCTTCATACGTCCTCTCTCTTTAAACACTGTATGCATTCTTTCACTTAGCAGTTCATTTCTTACCTAAGACTTTAAATAAAAGCGACTATAAACTAGAATTTCTGTGTGCATTGCACTCCCAACCATCAATATCAACTGAGTAAAAGATGTCCATTTCCATGATCTTCAAAGTCACCCCATTAAACACCATTTTCCTTCTTTGATGCTCCAAGTCTTTTTTTTTTTAATTTTATTTATTTTTTTCTTTTTTTATTATTTTTTATTTTTATTTATGATAGTCACAGAGAGAGAGAGAGGTAGAGACACAGGCAGAGGGAGAAGCAGGCTCCATGCACTGGGAGCCCGACGTGGGATTCGATCCCGGGTCTCCAGGATCGCGCCCTGGGCCAAAGGCAGGCACTAAACCGCTGCACCACCCAGGGATCCCGATGATGCTCCAAGTCTTAATCAGATACTTCCTCTCATTTCTTTATTTCCATTCACAGGATCATCATTTTCTTTAGTTCAATGGGCTTGAACTAAAGCCTCAGGAAGTTGATGCTTCTCTTTATCCTTTTAATTATTGCAGATATGCAATCAATAAGCTGTCACTCTCCAAATCCATTTGCATTTATGTTCTCTTCTGATTTCCTTGTTTATCACGCTAACTCAAGCCCCCAACACTTGTCGCAATGTCTCTGGCTCCTTTTCTTTTTTTTTTTAATATTCTCCTTGACTCTGCCTGCACACTCAGTAGAAAACCACTATTTTCCCCATGGTGCTTGTAATACTGTATCTCAAGTTTCAGATTTACAAACAGTCTAGTGACAGAGTAGGTGACGCAGTACAGCTAATGCAATTTATTGGTAAAACAGACACAAGGGACATGTAGACACAGCTCTGAGGCAAGATGGGGTAGACAGAGTCAGACCACCAGTAAACTAAGGAATTTTCAAAATATCTGGATTGAGGATTGTGTTTTTCTTTTTTTTTCCTGGAAAGACTATCAAAAGAGACTCCTTCGAGCTAACGGGTGGTAAAAACATCAGAAACAGAACCAAAAAAGAAACAGACATTTTGAGACTCATTGTGGGTTTTACCAAAATAAGAATCTGCTCATCTATCTGATACAGTAAAATATTAAGGGAATGCTTTTTATTTCCTCAATGTGGAAGACAAGAGGAGGAGACTAGAGACAGTCAAGTGAATTTGAAAAAATGAAACTCATCTGGTGTTCAACACACAGAAAGATCCAAGCTACTAGATCCTTCTAATCTATCTTCAGTGCGAATCCCCATGTGGAACTATACTATCCATTTATCAGAAGGAAAGATAGTTTCTCAAAGTAAACAGATCCTGAATTTTAACTTAACCCATTTTTACTAATTGCCAGACTCTTGCCACTCAAAGTGTTGTCCAAAGACCAAAAGAACTGGCATCACCTGGGACTTTTTAGAAATACTGAACCTCGGGTCTCAACCCAGAGAATTTGTATTTTAACAGGATTCTGATGCACAAAAATATTGAAAAAGCTGTGCTCTACAGAATACCCACCAATCTCCAAACTTGAGAGGAAAAAAACTTATAGTTTCTAAAGTCAAACAGCATAATCTAAACATCTCGAGTCACGTCTCATCATCTAACCTGCAGCAGCTTTGGATACTGTTGATATTCTCCTTCTGGAAATCCTCATCTCACTTAGGTGTCCTAATGCAACAGCTACCTCTCCTGTAGCTACTCCTACTTCCCAAATATTGGTCAACTCATTCTCCTCATCCCCTAAATTTTTGTACAGTTACCATGAGTATTTTCAAACTGTAATCCTAGGCAACTGCTAACCTATCTATTCTATCTCAGATCTACCTTTTTATACTCAAATCTCAAAACTAAATTCAAAGTTTCTTCCTAGAAGTCACCTTGAGATTCCCTAAATACTATATCCAGATCTATCATCTCAATTTCTCCCAGATATTCCAAAAAACGTTCAAAACAACTAATTCTCCTTCTTTCGAACCAACCCCCCCACCTCCCGCTGACTTTCCTCCGTAACTTAACTATCACCATTTTCTCCATTGAACATTAAGGAGTTGTCTTTATCATTACTTATCGTTTTTTCCCCTCCATGTCATCTCTCTCAAAGACTCTTATAATATCTCTTCACTAATTTCTTTGTTATCAGTCCATTTTCATTCCCGGAGAAATCAAACCATTCGTCTCACAGTCGACAGGGTAAACTTTCCCGTGGAAGAATGAATGCCAACTTCTTTCTTTGAAATTGCTGTTGACGCCCCGCCCCCCCACCCACTGTCCACTGGATAAAATCCAAGCCCTGTGATCTAGTTTACAGCACTTCAGTATGTCTCCTTAGATGGTTACAGCTTCATCCTCTCTGCATACCTCCACCCCGTGCTCTCCACTGTCACCACACCTCTGCTCTGGCCTATAGCCTCTTCTCCCATGGGTCCATAGCCTGTCTCATGAGGTTTCCTTCATCTGAAATACCAGTCCTCTCTTCCCTACATTATAAAATCTTACTGCTAGTTCAAAATCTTGCTCAAATGTCACCTTCTTGTTAAAGAATTTCTTAAGTTTCCCAGAGTTAATTTTGTCCTTCCCTGGTCCACAGATCTTAATTCTTCTCTATTTATTAGGTTAATATGAGAATTTATCACGGTAAACGGAGCATGATTGTTTTGTTTACTGGGACAGGAATTATGTCCACTACTCTCAGTTCCTTTCAATGGGGTTAGTATGGGTTCAATAACTAAATAATTAATGGATATTTACTAAGTAGTATTATCAAACAATTATTTGTTATACCTCCATTTTTAAGCAAGGGGTATTGTTTTAAGAAAGAATTCATCAGAAATATACCAAAGGAAGGAACAAAAAGAATTCATCTTTGTTGTGTCCTTATTAAGT